TGAAATTTAACGCGGGTGAATCTGCGGGTATATAATAGCATAGTATAATAAAATAAATAATCATTACCATAACACAGTGGCAAGTTGACAAAAGACACGTGCATCTAATGGTAACAGCCAAAACATCCAGGCGCGATATAATTTTGTAAAGTAGGGACATTTTTAATTACGTTTTTCAATTAGCGTAATAAAAAAAGTTACTCAACAATATCTGCAAGTATCTTATAATATTCTGTTTGCATGTATCCGATACTACGGACTATGTTCTAAATCTGTAATATTTTATATAAAAATATTTTATTATAATAATATTTGTTTACAACTTTCCAATTTTATACGTTCGTCATACTCATGAACGAGCGCAGCTAAAGGGACTGGTCTGCTCTAATCACTACGACTGATTCACTCTTATTCAGTTTGTTTCTGTTAGTTCTCAACCAGTTTATTTAATAATTATATCTAATATTTTCTCTATTTGAGTATTTGATTGAGTTAGTCCTATTTGGTAGTTTGTATTCACATACTTCAACTAAAGCATGTAAAGTAACAACGAAATTATTTAAAAGAGCAACACGCAAGTTTCTTGCTTATTCTTCTTATGGTGAAACAGCTTTCCGAATGAGAATTAAAAAAAATATGTGATGACTATTCAACAGTGCTTCAATGTAAGTTTATTTAAATAAATGATTTTCTATTCTATTTTGACAGCCTCGGTGGTCTAGCGGTTTAGCACACCGCCTTACTTTCGATGTTCGCGGGTTCGATTCCTCGCACGGCACAAACATTTGTATTCATAAGTACGATTGTTATGTATGTATTTAAAAAAAAATATCTATGTATTTGTATCAGTTATCTAGTACTCATAACACAAACTTTAGCTAGCCTAACTTGTGTATCTAGTGATACGCTATGTGAATTGTCCTGAGATTATTCTATTATTATTATTCTATTCTATTCTATTGTAAACAATAATCGATCAAGTTACTTTTTAGTTAGGATGCCACCCTATCACAACCAATCATAAGATTTATCGACAATAAAACTAACTAGAATAACTTTTAACTGCTCTGAACGTTAACAGAACAGTCGTTAAGATATGACAGGATCAGTCCGGCGATACGGGCATAACTAAACGACGTCTTATTGTTTTGGTTATCTACAGGTATAAGGTACGAAATGTCGTTCTCAGAATAGTAACCGGTTGACGAATTATTTGACTTTGTCTTTTAAGTAGAAATTGCAATAACAGTCTATAGGAATTACTAAAAACCACGTACTAACTAAAAACAATTGATCATTTTCAGAAATAAATTCTCCATTTATATGTATTTGTTAGTTATTTGTACAAATTTGGTAATAATGTCTTACAGAATACAGCAAAGTCTCCTTGTCCGTCTATGTTTATGATAGTCTTAAAAACAACTGAACGGATATTCAAGCGGTTTTCGTCTATCAACAGAGTTTCATTTTTCATTCGCCCTCAAGATGAACGTGTAAAGCCGGGTCAAGTCTCTAGTGGAATCTAACTTTGAAACAGGATTGGATCATATATTTCATTATTTTTTCATCAGTTACATTTGTAGAACATCGGCCGACTATAGAGCATATGGTTTGTTTCTTAAACAAATTTATTTAATTTGCATTTTTTTTAAATATTACGTATTTATTCGCTACAACATCAATTTAAATACTAATTAATTTGACGAATAATTACAACTGCTAAAATTACTATTAATGATTACAGATTACCACTCCGCTATGTACGTACGTACATAGGTACATACAGTTAATTTTATGTCTAAATCATTTTATTATTTAAAAGAGCAAGTTTTTGTTCGTTCTTTCATGATGCGTCTACTTTCCGAGTCAGAATAAAAAAAATATATTTTAACAATCATTAATAGTAAAATAAATGTAATATAAGCACTTCTGAATAGTCATAATTTTTTCGATTTCCTCCCATCCCATCCCATCCTCGTCGCCACTGTAAAATATGTACTGATATCAGTTATTTGAGGAGCACAATAAAATACGTCCGTTCACTATATAACATTTAATTCGAGAGAGCGCAACCTACCCTACAACAATTGTATTTGTGATTCACTTAACTACCTACATATATTACACATTCTATCATTTTGTTCACAATAATAAATGTAGATGGTTATTTTTTATTGTTAAATAATAACGATTGGTTGTGGCTTATTGTGGAATTAACATTTAATAACTTAGTTTTAGTACCTTCACACCTGCACGACGCATAGCATCAGGCACCATAAAACTATAACCAGCTACCAAGTTGTTTACAATACTCAGTTACAAGATCGTATTTAAAGAAACCATTTAATACGAAACTGATTGCTCTATAAACTGTATAATATTATAATTAGTCGTATATAAAGATGACGATCAATATCAAGTTACGAGAAATTTGATGTACGTCGTACTTGAAATATAGAAAACGTTTAAATAATTTCCGCTTCATGTTTCCAAAGTTATCAAAAGTTAGTTTCCAAATTGTTATAAAGCATATACCTATACTAACTAGTGGTCAAATATAGACCATAATTATTTTTAAGATTCAGAAAGACTAAAGACAAACAATATTAATCTATTCCCAATTTCAACACATACTTTTACAATAAATAAAAGAGTATAAAAAATAGTACATGCGTGTGTGTGTCAAATACATGGTACTACGTGTTAATAAATAAGAAGAGATACCAAGGGAAACAGGAGACGGGTTACTTCACGTATTAATATATAGATGTTATAAAGAGCTAAAGATATAGGGTATAGAACATCACGCTACGACCAATAGAAGCGGAGCTGCAATGAAATATGTTAATAAAAAGTAAAATTATAAAAGCGTTTAAAATGTAACGAAAATGAAGTTGCGCGGGTCAGATAGTACATATGTATATATATATATATATATATATTATTACATTGTTTTAAACTTTTTTATACATTATATAAACACGATATTTACTGTGATAATATCATTTCTGAGCTACTGATATTTCGACGCTATTACAAACGTCCTTCCGCATTCCGGTCTTCTCTGGAAATTAATTCCGGCCAAATATTATTGAAATGCGCCTTTACGAATTTTTATACTTTATGTAAAAAAGTATACCAAATTAAATATTAATTGCATATTGATGTAACACATATTGTTTTTGAATAATTCGATTTAGATTTGATTACGTTTCAATACAACAATACAAAATAATTTATATCAAAATGTATCGTAGCCTATCCATTGGGAAAATATTGAGCTCATAATAATATTATCACGTGTCACTAAATAGTAATTGTTATAACATTCGGTTGTAAAGAATGACAATAACATGTTCACTGTTGAGATTTATATGGAGACATTTAGGGAGGAATGCTCCTTGGAGGTAAATATTTCTGATGACGTATGCTTAACTTAAATAAATAGGTACAAAGTGATAAAACTAATAGATTATAAGTTCAGTTGTGTAATAGTGGAATAAATGCTTTTTATATTATTTTATTAAACATCTCATTTACATAATGTGTACAATTATATTGCAATTTCATTTTAGTGAAACAACAGAACTAAGTTAAAAGATTGCAAGCAAAAAATATATATAAAAAGTTAGTGGATAACAAAAACAGATAAAGAGAATGCACGATTCAGTGTCATGGAACAGTGAGTGAGTGAAAGGTGCTGCATGAAGCGAATTTAAATGAGAAGGTCGCTTTACTGATTAAATTACCCATATCCTTAACATACAAGTATTTTGTGTTGTCTTTAATCGCACAAAATATCCATATTTTTTTAGAGTGTAGTAATATTACAAAATTTAAAAAGTGTCTGTCTGTTATTTATATTTTTACGATGAAATGATAGCGAAATATGACAACAACTGAATATGTCATGAGAACGCACACATATTCAATCTTACTAATTATCGGAAGTCGCGTGTAATATCTAGTATAAAAGAAGAAAGAAATGCGAATAAAAATTACAACATTAATATTTGCGTTACTTTTTTTTCTTAATGAACCAATTTTGTGGTACTGCCTGCGTATATAAATGTAGATAGCATAGATTTTTTTTTAATTTTCTCCTTTACATACAAAAATCATATCTATTCTCTATAATATTACTTTAGGTAAAAAGATATTGAAGATGATAAGATACTACTTCAGCCTAGTTAATTGGAATTAAATAGTTTATCCATATTGTTTATAGAAGAAGCGCGCTCTACCCGACGTAGTAAGATGCTCTAGAAATGTAAGATGTCAATGATTCTATTAATCTGTCCTTAATATAGTATAATTATTATATACCCACGATTTCGTCTGCTTTTTAGATATAAGCAACAACCTATGTCCATTCTAGTAATACCATTTATCTTCGTATAAAATTTCATTAAGACCCGTTAATAGTAAGTAAAGTTTCCAATATTAATATGGATGCACTGTTTCTATCAACTATCGGTATTAAAATACCATATAAATATAGATAGCCTAATTTAATTCAGTAAAATAGGCTGATACTTTGATTTCCTATGAAATATCCTATTTTAGGATAATGTAAACATCGTTCTTTAAGAAAGAAAGATTTATGATGTTATTGACGCCTGTAATGTTTATTTATATTATATGCATATAACAGTAGGTCATTTCTTCAGACAAAACCACAGACTAATATAATAAGAACAAATAAATAAATCAATCAAACCTAATTAGTAATAAATCTACTCAGAATTTGTATAATACATTATACAAATTCTGAGTAGAATTAGAAATTGTATGATTAAATATTCCTTCAATTTACAGATAATACCAACAATGACCATATAACAATACAAACAAACGATATGCTCATGCATGATGCCTGCATTTGTAATATTGATTCAAATTCGAGATTCGAACACACAACTATGAAAAGAAGTTTGTTTAATCGCTACACCACCAAGGTATATTCATATTAAAAATATCATTAATTAAGTATATTTTACCTTATTATCTTTCTGCCATGAACAAACACCTTTCTTGTCAGATATTCGACACTTGAGCAATGCGTCCTCTCCAGGATTCACCTCAGTATACGTTGGCATCTCCACAAACCGCTGTACCGCATCTGAACAAAAAAATATACCTAATTAGCGGGGTATAAGCAATTAATTTCTTGTCTGAAATAACAACAATAATAATATCTCAGGACAATTCACACAGCGCCATCTAGTCCCAAATTAAGCAGAAATTGGATTATGGGTATGGTATGGTTAGACAACTGATATAAACACATGGATACACATTTTTTGTAAATAAATAGATATTATACATAAAATATACATAGACCGATACAAACAATCATTCTCATGAATACAAATGTTTGTACCGTGCGACGAATCGAACCGGCGACCATCGGATAGTAAAGCAATATGCTAAACCACTAGACCACCGAGTTGTCAATATATAATATACAGAGAATTTTTTTTTATTTATTATTAGTAAAATAAGCTCCGAATATAATAAACCGGTTTAAAGAACTCTTTCATTTATAGCCTACAGAAAAACTGCTACTTTAAAAGTATAGTTTTTATTGAAAAAAATACATTGCAACAGATTCCAGTGAGAGCAGTTTCAATGTAGTATAAGAGGGGGAATGGGATTGTTAATAATGTAGCGTAATGATTTCGTTGCTAGCAATATACCATGTCAGGTTGATCTCCACGAAATCCCCCCTGGAAAACATTGGTGTAAATTTGTCACGATAGGCTAACTGACCTAACCTCATACTCATCTTATCGTCCTCCACTGGTGTCCTGCCAGTGGAAACAGTTTCAGTAAGCAAGTGCACCGTTCCATTATCATCCATAAAAAATGTAATATAAAAAACAATATGAAAATTGAACTCTCTAATATACAATATTCGTCGAGAGGCTTTGTAAAATCCTGGCTCTGATTCTCTCAATAGCACTAACACATTTGTAATCCATAAACTCGATGTATAACTACCTATATATTGGTTATACCTTTCAATTGAGAGAAATAATATGCTTTAAATTATAACGGCCGCGGTGGTTTTAATGATTTCGTACAAGATCCGATGGTCGCGAGTTTGATTTCTCGCACGGTATAAACATTTGTATTCATGAATATGATGTATCAGTCTGGGTGCTTTCTTTATATATTATATATGTATTTACAAAAAAAGAGAGTATTTATGTGTATAACTTGTCTATCTATAACACAAGTTCTGCTTAGTTTGGGACTTGATGACGCTGTGTTATTTATCCTGGGGTTATTATTATTATTAATGTAGGTATATAATTGTTATAATGAATACAACTGACAATAAATGTGTTACGGTTATAAAAATATGTTAGTAATATAAACCACACGTATTATTTACTACATTTGCGGTTTATATCATTCATGATATGCATTATACATTCATACAAGTAGGTATGCATTCATACAAACAGTCATGACGGCTCTGTTTTGTTTCAGATGGGGTTACCAGAGACATTTTCAACTATATACGAGTAGGTACCTATATGGCTAAACTAAGCCTTAGTCTAATAATTGCAAACACAACAACATAACAAGCCAAGTAAATGTTCTGAAATAATGCCTTACATATGTACAATCAGCCTTTGATTTTAATTTACATATGAATAGTTTCTCATTGCTACTTTAATCTCCGCTAAAATTACATAATAAATAGTATCTCTATGTATACATTAATCTGCACTAGATTATAAATTAAATAAAATTGAATATGGCTAAATTACAAAAATAAATACAAACAAACGAATGCCGCTTTAATCTCGGAGAACTCAAATTATTCTTCATATAGGGGATAAAAAAATATATCCCAGAACAGTTTATCTTAATTAACTTCGTGCATATAAAATAAACCTGGCCATTTAAAGCCGGGGAACGTTAATCACGATGATCAGTCCAAATGCGCTTTTAAACTGTCAAATTAAAACCAACAAACTTTTTATAGTCCCATCACAGTACAGTCCATCACGATCTGAATCAAAAAGCGTCTATTTGCGGAATCCGAGAGATCGAAAAGCGTAATCGTTTTTAAACTCAGCACTCACAATGCATGCACAGACACGCGGGATAATTACTCATATATGTATATACACTTTATATTCATCTGTAGTTGATAATGGAGTGATGCCCCAGCCTGCGCTAACGATTTACGCTAGCGGGGCACCAGTGTAGGATAACATGAGCATGACGTCAGATTAGTTAGGTCATCTTGATAAATTCTCCAAGAATTTGTCATGATGGTTTCCAGGGGGATCCGCGTGGAGGTCAACCTGCCATGGTACATTGCCAGCAACTTGCACCCTTACAATTTACAGTTGATAGGTATAAGTGGATTTGAAACTATATTATAGTTCTACACAAACAAATTACGCATTTCTACAATATTTATTTACTGGCCAACGGATTATTTACACCATTACATACATTTTTTCCAAATACACTTGAAGTCAATTTTAAAGGATCAACATATTTCTATATTCTAAATATATATGCATATAGTCAAAATTATGTACATTTAACAAATACATTGCATTTTTAAAATTATTTAATATAGGACATTTTCGCTAATTTTGCACGAAAATAATCAATCAATTTTAGTAATATTTACTTTTACGCAATCATATTTATAAAAATTATATCAAATGTATTTCATAACATATTTCGCTGTTGTTGGCATCATCGAAAGTTTAAAAATAATAAATTAATTTCTTCCACATCCAATGAAGCAGTTCTTTTTACAAATAAATGACTTCATTTCCCTGAAAATAAGACTCCTGACTTCATCCTCTCTATGAAATAAAACAACATGTAACTACAGATAACATAATATTACAAAAACTTTACCTCACATATATAAGTAAAATACTTTATTTGCATTTCTGTACTAAAACACTTCGAATCAATCTTATATTCTATCTTTGTCTTATATATTAGTTCTTGTCATGTAATCGGATACATAATCAATGAAAAGCCTTACCAACGACTATCGACATTGCGATGTCGAGATCCTGAATATTCTGGGTGCAATTAATGTAACTTCAAAGTGATTGCGCGCATACACATGAAAGGGTTTAGGGGCAATATACTACACATTAGCGGTTTCCGTACAATTATAGAATACCAAATGAGTTGGGTGTATCTAGATGAGCAACTATGTACTTGCCAGCCTAGTTAACTTCGACACCCACTACAATTATTCTCATGTTTTATTCCAACACCTATAATGTTATATGTATTACAATTAATTTAAGTTCTATTTAAATCCTATCTTGACTTAATATTTTAAATCTAAAGTTTGTAAGTTAGGATGTTTGGTGTAATTTCCAGTGCTACTAATCCGATTTTGATAATCATTTCGTTGTTGGATAGGCTCTTTATCGAGGAAGGCTATAAGCTATACTACATTATGCTACGATCAATAGACCTAATTTACAATGAAAATTTTTGAAAAAACGGGGAAAATGTGAGCAGCGAAGTTACGCGGATAATCCAGTTAATATTATAAAAGTAAAAGTTAGGATGGATGGTTGCTTCTAACTCTATTACTAAAACACTACTAGACGAATTTAAATGAAATTTTATGGACATATAAATTAACACATCCATCCTAAATTAACACATAGGATACTTAAACTTACTCAAACTCACACTCAGTCAGCAAGATATCTATAAGTCCTCGACTGGGAGGCCGCACGGCTATGTTCCTAGTACGTAGGCTGCATTACTTTATTGTATTACGATGTTAAACATTTGTTATATTGTTTCTGAACGAGACATGTCTATATTATTAACAATTAATCTGTATTAACAACTCTCATTATTACAGAGATAAATTTAAAACTATGCAATTTTGATATTATATTTTTCGTACATGGTAAGTAAAATTTCCAAGAAAAAAAATCCTCAATTCGATTGTATTGTTTGCTACTCGTGTTTTTTATTTCATGTTGTTGACAATTTGAATGATGTTTACTCTATAATTATTTATTAACCTGAATGTACACACTAAATTGTTTAAAAACTGGAATTTGTCTGTTCAAAATATTATTATAGCTTGAAATTCCTGCTGCGAGGTATAATTACGTACGGAGACGTAACAAAAAGTTAACCAATAATCATTCATAAATCATAATGCACAGTAACCGCTAAACGCTTTCACAACAGCGTGACTAAAAAGATTATAGAATTCATTTCTTTGATATCAGACTAGTGAAATCTAAAGCTTTTGAAATTTTCGTTTTGTTCAAATAAATCTGTTGCATAATAATGTAGGTACATTCTTGTCACTCTACAAAATATCGATGAAGAAAAACATTGATACGAACAGTTATTCAAGCAAGATTAATAAAGAATACATTATTTGATCACTACTATTATTACATATATATTTATGTGAAAAATTAAGACCGGTAATCATTGTCAACTCTGAAATCATATTTATATTTTTTATTAATATACAGAATAAATTTTTAGTTCTCTCTATTTCTCGTGAGGATTTTGAATTAATTATGTTAATATTGAATTGAATTTCATATCGTGGAACTAAATCCAAAATTATCAGAATTTAGCAAACCTGATGAATCTGTATACCAGTTGTACTCGAAACCATATTAATAATACTGCCTATCTTTAAAAAAACTAAAATTCTGTTGCAATGCAATTTGCTGTTATAATAGTCGTAAAAACCGACACCTACAAAAAACATACAAATTATGATAACTTTCAACAAAACTTCTCCTAACAAAAGCTCACAAAACAACCTCCTTCGAACCCATTTTTTATTTTTAAGAATTTTGTCACAATTTTCATATTAGAAAACAGGTCGAAAGAAAAAAAACAGAAGATTCAACCAAGATTGCGAAACTATACAATAACAACTATAGTATTTTTCTAGTGACGTCTGTGTAATATTTTTTTAATAGAGCATATTTGCAATTAATTGTTTACAAGATGTATGGTTTAAAGCTGTCATAGATACATATTTTTTGTGAGATACATGTTTAAGCCTTACTTGTTACCTATCTAATCTACATATATTAAATGTTTAAATAACTTTTAGAAAAGGTA